TTCGCAACTGTTTTATTAACAATTATATATTTCTTGCCACAAATTTCTTTTTTTTTTTTTTTTAAGTTTATTAACTTTTATCTTGGATAATAGAGAAGAATGAAAAACGGGACAAAAGACAAGATGTAAAAAAAATAACAAAAAGCATAAAATGAGAAATAAAATGCACACTGTAGAACAAGCTTAAAGGAACTGAGAAACAAGAAAGAATCGACTCTCACTATGATGACAGATGCCTGACGCAGACCGCGGTTCTCCTCCTGCAGGGCTTTCACCCGCAGCTTGTATGTTTCAAGTTCGACCTTGAGCACACGGTTGTGCTGCTGCAGGGACTCGATGCGCTTCTGCAGCTGCTCGCGCGTAACCGGCGACGGCGGCATCATAATAGGTCCGCCGTCGATTGAGCTGGAATCGCTCTCGGATGCACTATCGCGATCGGCCATGTTCTATTTGCAGGTAAATGATAAACGATGACGGTCACGAGGACGACGAAAACGATGAGGGTATGCTGCCGGTTATCGCCGGCCGTTGTTCATCGCACGCGACTCTTCGGTACGGAGAGTCCAGTATCGCCGGCGTGTCCACGAGCACGTGCCTTTGAATTTCACGTTCACCGATCGCTGGAAGAATGCGCGGAAGTAGCAAGAAGTAGTACGGTTATCGTGGCGTGATTAACGCGCGGCGGACATGTGCTCCCATACGCGAGAAATGTACCGCAGAACCGATATCAGCTGTTTGCGCCGCACTCACTCGCTCGCCGACTGTTTTCACGAGCGCGAAAGTGGCGCGGCGTTCCGTGACTAGTGCGTCGTGATTCGCGATCGACCGCGGAGACACCTGGGCATGTATCATGGAACAAGTCAGAATGGATTCCAATTGGACTTAAGTCAGCGGCACACGATGCTTGTATTCCTGCTGGATTGCTAGCCGGATTAAAATCTTGCCACCGTATTGGCTGCGGTGCTGGCAGTGTCAATATCGCAGCCAATCCGCGGGCAAGAATCTGATCCTTTTTGCTTCAATATTGGTCATATTCAGCAGACTCAACTGTTGCGGAGCAGATTGCTCCGTGAGCGATTGCTGCTATTGGATGATCTAAAAAAAAGATACATCAATAGAAATGAGCATTCACGGATCCGCTCCGCAAAGCCTATTCTACAATGACCGTAAGCCGTAAATATTGACCAATCATGATTGAATATGAGGAGAATAATCGATTAAGATTGGTCAATTTTTGTGACTTACGGTCATTGTAGAATAGGCTTATGGTTACTGTAGAGACCTAGAGACCTAGAAAACATCAGAGAGCCATTTTAATTCACTATTGCATCTAATAGATATAGTTTTATAACGTATGTACATACATATATATATATAGAGAGAAAAATTTAGACAATACAGTATCGAAGTGCAATAAAAAACTATTATTATGGTGTAAGTATTCTTATTTGTGTGAATATTTAATATCGGACTTAACCTAACCTAATCTAATCTTTCTACCTTTTGCATCAACTGTCATCAGCTTATTGGTCAAGAGCACTTATATTGAATTAAAATGGCGGTGGTTACCTAACCCAACCGACGCAATGTCGCATCTCTGTTTTCTAGGCCTCTATGCTCGCTGTGCTTAGAGTCTGGAGATCCTCCTTAAGGTTTCTAGCTGCAAGCGAAAGCGACTGCGATTTGGCATCAAGGCCTTTACTTACGTTATGGTCTTACGGTCTCTACTGTGATTGGTCAATTCGCTCATTTAAGTTTTTTTCCATTGGCGTTGCGAGCCGTTATATATATATATATATATATATATATGTAAAAGAATGTAGCCACGTGAATCCAGTGAATCTGGTGCCAGTAAAAAGACGTTTATCATTGATTAAGAAATCGGAATTTGATATTAACAATTTAAAAACGTTGTGTTCTAATATCTTTTTGGTAAGTTATCTAGTGTATTTCTTATATTTTAATAAAAATATACTTATTCAATTGCCTTTCGCGCAAAAATAAGCTGTGCTCTGCTAAAGATGTTCATTGTTACACTTGACTGAGTTAGCCAAGTTTGCAGAGATAAATTTTAAGCAGAGTTTTCTACCAGTTTGATGATAGAAAAGCAACAAATTTTATATGAAACCTGTAATATCTGACGATGTTAGCAGAAATATAACAAAATCTATTGAGATAACATGCCAGTAGACTGAATTTGCAGCTCCTGCTTTGTAGGATGGAATTAGTTTTACTATGCCTGATCCATGTTTGTGCCTGATCCAATCTGCTGTCTGATTTTATGAATAGGTTCTGTCAATAGAACAAAAGCAAGATGCTGCTACAATTGATATCAGTTTGTCGACATTTCTGATCTGCTGCCAGTTTGCCGACATTTTGCTAATATCATTGTACTTACTGGATACCAGCAGGAGGTCAATCTAAGGTCTGTTCTTTTTCCATCCCAAGTTCTAAACTGCATGCTGGTGCAATCAGTTACCCCCGTATTCATAGTCAGACCTTATACCTTAAATTTATCTTTAGATACTCAGTAGCCAATAAAATAATTCGTAAATCATCTGAAGATAAATTTAAGGAAGCCTTAAGTATAAGGTCTGACTATGAATATGGGGGTTAGAGTGAGATAACTATAGTTTGTTTCACTCTAACTTATGGCACTATTCTATAAGTTCAGAACTTGTTTAGAATATGAAAAAGAACAGACCTTATGTAATCTTTTTCTGTAGCGTGGAAATGTGGAAAGTTTCACGCAAATTCCAAGGTCTATTTGAGTCGCTTGATATCCTCAAAAATTTTTTAAATCTAAACTGAGATATATATATATATTCGTTGAAAAGAGAAAAAGCAAAAAATGCAAGCAATGCGAACAGACATTAATGTATCTTGAAAAAATGAAAATTAGAAAACTTACATTTATAATTTCATTGATCAAACTTGGTACTCACTTTTGTAATTTTTATCTCGTTTCACCTTATTTCAAGATACACAATCGGCTTTTTAAATATATACTTATCTTGTTTTAATTGTGGATTGGTAAAAATCATGTTTTAAACATAGTTTAAAATTTTAAAGCATATTAAATCGAAATTTTTAACATGTTTTTATACATGTTTTTTATAATATTGTTTAAAATATATATGAAATATTAAAAATATGTTTTAAAAGACACAATGTTTTATTTTTTAAAAAAGCTAACTCTGATTTTAAATGCAATAATTTGTTTTAATTTTTTTTTGTATTTATTATATGTAGACAATATTGGGAATTTTTTTTCTATTTTAACTTTCCATGTTTCTAAAACTATAACTTTTTTTAATTCCCTTTTATTTGCTTATTACTTTGCTTATCTTTTTATTTATTTGTTTTTTCTTTGTGAATATTATTTTGTGTTATATCTTTTCTTTTCATTCTCTGTCATTTTTACATTCTTTACAGAGGCCGTGCTTTAATATTAATATTAAATATAATTAAAACTGTCTTATCTATCTATATTATTAGTAACGAAAATAAATTAAAATGAATTGAAATTTTTAATCCGAAAGTATATATTTCAAATGGAAAACTATTTTTTATTTAACCTTCTACCCGTGTTCAGGTCTTATTTGACCCGAGCGTTAGTAAAAACTTCTTGTGTATATTACAGTATTATCAACAAAAGATCAAGTTTTGCGACTTTTTATCTGTGATATTATGGCATATTTTAGTGACTATATATTAATTAATGTAATATGCAAGAATGAGTGCTATGAAAAAGTATATATAAGTGTTTTAATAAATATTTTATGTCGGGTCTATTTTGACTCTGAACATGGTCCAATGTATATGTGAAATGAACACGGGTAGAGGATTAATTGGATTTATTTGAATTAAAAAATTGCATTTTCTATTTAAAATTTTTAATCGACTAGTATATTCACGATCTGTTTTTAAAAACTGGATTTATTTTTTAATGAAAGACATAGAAAAAGTGCAATTCCTATAAATGAATAAAAAACCTTAAGCATTGAAATGGATTCAGATTTTCAGTAGTACATATTTGTGAACGTTGAAATTAATCTTTTTCAATTCATTTTAATCAACTTTCTTTTACTAAAATGCTTAAAAAAATTTTCTAAGGTTAATATTCCACTATAGCATCATTTGGTATACAATTTGATTCAAATTTTAAAGATTACAAATTAAGCGAAAAAAAACCCTGTATTTTTGGAGCAACTTTTTATAGTAGATTTTTCTCAAAATCTGCATTTTTTAATTTATTTTCAAGCTACCTGGTCCATCTAATTCATTTATAAATACATTGTTTTTACGTTTAAATAACAGGAAAGCAGACGTCAATAAAGTCAAGTGAAATTTCCGAGTGAGATTGATCACACAGAATTTAGGACATCCATCCAATCGATTGTTTCTGCTAAGAGTTGCAAGATTTTGAGGAATCAAGGAAATAAGCTCAGAAAGTGATTTTATATCTCCTCATCGACTGCTTATGGAGTACATCTCAGGAAAATTCGAGAATCCACTTCTGTGAAAGAAAGGAAGCTGAATTTGTAACTAAAGAAACCTCGGTGGGACCTGTGGCTTGAAAAATTTTGAGAACACTTCCGCTGCTGATAAGAACTTGCAACGTAGGTGACAGTTCGAGCTCCTAAGCGAACCCTAGATAGCGATTACTCGTCAAAGACGTTTATCTTTCTTTCTCTTTCTTTCTTGGAGTTGCACATTGGATAATTTTTACATATTGTATTAAATAAGAGACACGCACTGTACACTTGATACAAGTACACCTATTAAGCGTCATAATAAGTCTATTTTCTCGCAATTATTACATGATCGGTAGATGCATGTCGTTTATTAGTCATACATGACATTTATTCTTTTTCGGATTATCTTGTCTTTGATGACCTTTGTTTGCTGATTTCCTGATTTGATGGTCACATTATTCTAACAATAACATGTATTAACGTTTTTGTATTTCTTAATTTTTTCATTTTTTAATAATTGATATGAAATCGAGTGTTAAATTGACGGAAAGAAAACCGAAGCGAACGTTTTCAGAAACTTGGCTTACGGATAATCGATATAAGTCATGGATACGAGAAGTACTATCTGATAATACTCTTTATCACTGTACTATATGCAATAAAAGTTTGTCGTGCGCTTCAACACATATCTCGAGGCATGCAGAGTCAGCGCATCATAAAAATAATATTAGAAATAAAGATGGTGACGACGACAGCTCCTTAGCAAAAAGATCTCGTAAATCTGTATTTCAATATAGATGGTTAGATAGAGTGGAATTTAAAAGCTGGTTACGCGAAGTGCCATACGATTCAAGTTTATTTTTTTGCTTAATTTGTGACAAATCTGTTGCTGGTGGTTTATCACAGATTGTTCGTCACTCAAAATCTAAAGTACATATAAAAAAAAATACAGAAAAGAATTCTGCCGAAGTGAGTCAATTGAATAACGATTCGCATACTCCGTCAACTATGCACAATCGAGCTACGCAAACTGAATTGCTTTCGTCGTTTGAAGAACGTAAGAAATCCGCAGAAATTAGATTTGCCGCATTCATTGCCGATAAAAATATCCCCCATCAAAATGCAAAAGAGATTCTTAGCTTTTTCCAACATGTAGGAGAAGATCCTAACGTGTTGAAAGCCATGAGTATGGGTCGTACAAAATGTAAAAATATCATTACAAATGTTCTGTGCCCAATCGAGACGGAACGTGTGGTTAACAAAATTCAGAACACAAAGTTTACGATATTCATCAATGAAACATCTGACAATGAGAAATGGTTGACTTTTCTCGTTCGTTATGTTGATCCGGAGACGTTAGACATTCGATCACAATTAGTTAAACTAATTGATATTGATACCACAGATTCCAATGCGGAAAAATTGTTCCTTGTATTTAAATGTGAAATGTGGAGATTACAGATATTGTTTTTAAATATTGTCGCTTTGTCGTGTGACAGTGCGTCTACCATGACAGGAAAACATTTACTGTTCAAAAAAAAATTAGAAGAAGAATGTCCGCATTTGTTAACATTTTCCTGTCCTTGTTATGCCACTTTGTTAATAACTAATGCTGCATGCGATGAAATACCCATGGCTTGCGAAGAATTTGTTACAAAAATTAGCGATTATATTAACTGTAGTCCAAAATGTTCGTCTGTTTTTTCTGAATTTTGTGAATATTTTCAAGAAAACAATAGAGTATCACGATTAGGTGATACACGTTGGCGTTCTCACTACTTATGTATAAAAAAACTTTTGGAATCTTGGGATGCAATTAAACATTTTCTCAATGAAATAAGTGTGAATGAGAAAACCAGATCTGAAGAATGTCTGTTGTCTATGATGGACAATATAGAGTTAAAAGCTTATTTTCTGTTTTTAGAGTACGCATTAAATTTTTTTCACAAATTTAGTACATTTTTTCAAGGATCAGACACTCGAGTACATACTTTGCAGCCCAAATCTGCAAGTCTTCTTCTTCAAATCTGCCAAAATTTTGTAAAAGAAAAGTGTTTAAAAGTCATCTCTCCAAATGTAGCATTCTCTTTAGAGGAGAATCAAAAAAGTCTTCATCAAATTATATTAGGATTAGAATGTGACAAATACCTTCAGAAATTATTGGAACATGGACACGAAGACGAAGTTGAAATAATTCGAAGGAACTGCTTAAAGTTTTATGTAACTGCTGCCGAAAACATTCGCAAGATGTTGCCTGTGAACAATGTGTTCTTATCGAAATTACAAGTTTTGAAACCTTCATTACATTTATTCGATAAGGATAGAGAAACATCATTTGCAGATATTTCTTTCATAGCTCAGACTATTGGCGGTTTCGACGAAGTCTATTTAAAGAAGGAATGGGTCGCATTGTCATTAGATTTCACAACGAGCGAGAAACAAAGTCTTTCTAAATTAAATTTTGACAATATGTGGAAAAAAATCTTACAATCTTCGTACCCAAATAATACAGCCAAATATCCAAATCTAATAAATATTCTGAATGCTATCCGATCACTTCCTAATTCAAATGGCGATCCGAAGAATATGGTTTCCATCGTACAGGATTTAACTTCAAAAAAACGCAACAAACTTTCGCCGGCTTCGGTCAATGCCATATGCGTTTTTAAGTCTGCATTGAAGGCGAGAGGAGAATCATCAATGAATATGACGATCGAAGAAAAACATTTGTCTCTTATGTCATCAGATAAACTATATGCTAGTGCTACTAAAGAGACTGCAGTATTATAAGTGACTTTAATTTAATTACTAGATATGCAGTTAACGCAGGATAACGCAGTTAAATATAAAAATAATATTTAATAATATTGCACTAATCCATATAGCAAAGCGTGTCTCAGCAAAATCACAAAATCTGTGATTGTTTATGATGCTAGTAAACTTGCTGCAGATTGTTTCCAACGATTTCAAATATATTGACACTGTAACGATATACAGATAACAATGTATATATATCGCCGAATAAGTAGATAAGGAATTAGGGAAGTAACGTATCATTTTATTTTTCAGTATTGTCAATAATTATGGAATACACTCTTAACGACATTAATGTATAAAAACAATGTTAAGTAAAAATTTTTTATAAAATCTGTGTTTGTAAATTAAATCCTTTTTTTAAGAGATAAGCATAAAAAATAATTATTATTAACTATAAAGCTTAATTTTTCAAGATTTATTAAATATATTTAATATAAAGAGAATATTGCTATATATATATATAGATATTAGCTTGGTTAGAATTTTTAATTTCAATAATAATTTTTTTATAATTGCAGGTATTGATTATTAAGAGGATGCTAACAAAACGACAATTAAATTACAAAATGTCTTCTAAATTTAAATTAGAATCAGTATAGGTCTACCTAGGGTACATTCCGTTTCTCGCATGATGCGCATGATGCATCGTTTATCCTTGTTGCTCACCAAATATTAAACAAGGACAATGGATGATGCATCATGTGCGTTACGGAATGCACCTTTAATTCACTATAAGTATATGTATATGTTTCTTTTTTCTATTTTTTTTTAATCAGATAATCAGAGATACAAGACTATTAATTTTAAAAATTAATACGAAGATTATACAGGACATATAAGAGTCGGTTAAAAGTTCAACAATCGTGAGTATAAGAATCAAGACAAAATAAATTATATATCAAATCAAAAATATATAATTAATATTACATGAACCGGCTATAGTCTTCATGTATAATATTTATTGTGTATTTTTAATTTTATATAATTTAATATATTTTATATCTTGATTCTTTATATCCATGATTGTTTAACTGACTTTCTTAGATGTCCTCTATAATCTTCCTATAATATTTAAAAAATTAAGATACTTTTATGAGTGGTTACTGGCATACTTTTTCACTCTTGCTTTAATTAAGTAGTATCACATTGAGAATTGGCGCGAATCTCGTTGGACCTCTGGTGACGGTCGCCACAAGAGACAAAGGTAAAGGTGTAATTTGTAAGCGTCAAGCAGCGGAAGCAGCAATCAATCAGCGAGGCGATATATGAGCAGTGGCGAAAAAATATTTTCCTCGCCACTGGCTATATCGCCTCGCTGATTGGTTGCTGCTTCCGCTGTTTGGTTGCATGTGAATGTACCTTTATGAAATAAGCGACGACACTAGAAGTATATCAGGGCGCTCCAGCCATGCTCTGGGTCTCTGGGAGCAAATTGTACATGTGATTCTCGTTCACGTGTTCTCGTCTAACTAAATCTTACGGAATAATCTTAAGGATAACGATAAGGTTACGCTCAGAAATACTTAAATTCTAGTTTGGCTTTTGTATGTTTTAATATTCTTTTTATTATATTTTTCCTCTTTAACAGGATGAAGAAAGCAGAACGAAGTGAGCCTAGTTTAGAAGTATCGGAGTATAATCTTGCGAAAAGCGGTGTAACAAATAAGAATACAACATGCGTGAAGGATCTGATCAGGTCATTGGAGCAAAAAGGGGATCAGAGCAACCTCACCAAGAAGCTTCGTTACATTCAGCAAAAGAACAAAGTTCTTTCTAAACCATTGGAGAAACCAGCAGCTGAAAGGGTAAATTAATCTCATTAATAAGGGTTGATTGTTCCATTTTTTTGTAAAGTTTACCTGTTAGGTAAATAGCAAGATTACTCAATCACGTGTACAGATTGTCAAATTTACCTAACAGATAAATTTTACCGAAAGATGGAACAGTCAGCTATAAATTGAATGAGCTATTGATTGAACTTCTTTATGTTATTGTTATATAAAAATAATAATCTCAATAGATTAAAAACAATGAGGATCAATGATTCGATATAGAGTTTTACATGATATTTAATATATTTGTTTATAATTAAACAATAATGATTCTGTGTTTTAATCCATTAATTTACTATCTGTCTTCTATAACAATTATCTCGTTTTACATTTAAAATTTTGAATTAATCGTCATCAATCTTTTTCAATATTATTTATTTTTATTCTTATTTTTTTCATGATTGGTAATTCTGCTAATGAAATTTATCCAGTCTTGAAATAAAAAGAATTACAAGAGTCCAAATCTTTATAGATAAAAAGGGCAGTTGGTTACGAGAAGGTTAAAGAAGAATTGCAAAAATGGGACAGTGTAGTAACCAGAAACAGGATAGCAGAACAATTATCTTTTCCATTGAAACGTGTAGCACCAGTAAAGGATTCTCACACTTCAAAAATTCCTAAATTTCTAAGTGGATTCAGTACAAAGTCTGATTTAATGAAGAAGTTTGAAGAGCTAGATTCAACATTGCTGTATCCTGATGACAAAGAAGAATTGAAGAACAATAAGTACAAAATGACACTGGAAGAAGTAATCTTGAGGAGGAAAGAAGCTGCCAAACTAAGGGCACAACAGGTATAAAAATATTATGTAGTTATATATATATATATATATATAAAATATTAAGCGATCTACTAGTATGACTAAAAAAGGTAAAAAAACAGATTTAATAGGAATGATTTTAATTCTTTTGCATTTTTAGTCATATAAAGAGACGAAGGCGCATCGTCAGCGTAAGATAAAGAGTAAGAAGTTTCATCGCATTCAGCGGAAGGATAAAATCAAACAGCAATTAAAGGATTTTGAAAAATTGAAAGATAGCAATCCAGAGGAAGCCTTGGTAAAGTTGGAACAGTTAGACAAAACTCGTGCTGAAGAGAGAATGTCATTAAGACATAAAAACACGGGTCAGTGGGCTAGGAATAAACAGATTAAAGCCAAGTATAATAAGGAAGTGAGTATTATTTTATTTCAAAACCTGAACAAAATTATTTATTTTTAATAGAAAAATTATTTTAATAAAAATATATACTCAAATATATATATGTATATATCTTTTTTTAAATAAGTATATATCATAAACTCTTAAATGTTAGTAAAAATGTCTGATTAAGAACAAGAAAATATAACTAATTTTTTTTGTTAGACACGACAAATACTTACTGAACAATTGGCCATTAGTAAAGAATTGACACAAAAAATTAGGAGAACAAACAGTGATGAATCTGAGGAAGATGAAGAAAATATAGAAAATGTGGTGGATAAAGAATATGAAGAAGATAAAGAAGATGAGATATTAGTAAATAATAAGGTAAACGACATAAAAACTGAATCTGAAATTGAAAACTTTATTAAGCTTTGTCAGAAATACTATGATAAAAAGCAGCAGACGAAAGAAGGGAAAATAAAAAAAGATGAAACTTTGAATGAAATCATACTGGAAAAAGAAAAAGAGACGAGTCATATTGAAAAAAGTAGTACTTTACAAGTAAGCGATACAGAAAATGAACTTTGCGATAATCAGAAAAATAGTATTTTAAAAACTAATACATATAATACAAAGAGTGAGTTACACGGCAATGAGGAAAGCAGTTCTTTGCGAGAAAACAAACGTAATACAAAAAGCAAATTATGTTGCAATGAAAAAAATGATACTTCAAATGCAAATACCAGTGATGCAAAAAACGAATTTTGTAGCAGTGAGAAAAGCAGTACTTCATTAAAAAATACAAATAATATCAAAGATAAAATTCATAAAAAAGAAAATGATAAAGGAAATTGCAAAAGTAATAACAAATCTAAATCACAAGATAAAAATAAAACAATCGAATCCAAGAAATTAAAAGAGGGACATTTAAAGCGTAAATTGAATCCAAAAAAGGACGACGTAAAGAAGAAATTGAAGACAAGTGATAAGACAGAAAAGTATGAAGAGAAAGAGGAGGAAAATGAAGATTATTTGCCAAGTCTCGAATTTGAAGATCCAAAACGGAAACCTATTTTGGATTCTCCATTAGAGGAAACCACTTCCAGGGAAAATGTACATGAGAACAGTAATTTGACGAAATTAAAGACAATAGCAAATACAATGCAGGAACCGGCTGGCATGAGTAACGAAATAGAGATAGATCCGAAAAAATACGTCAATATAAAACCTAAACACTTAAAGACGCAACTGCCAGATGTGGCTACAGCCGGGGATGAGGATAGCGAACAGGAAGAGGAAACGCACAGAATAATGAGCGAGGCATTTGCGGATGACGATGTTATCGAAGAATTTAGGAAGGAAAAGGAAGAGGAGGTATGTAATAATAAACTGTATGTCTCTCTTTTGTATGTATATAATTTGTTTGTATATGCTCATAAATTGTCATGATATTACATTCTGGAAAATCAATTCCCTTAAATTTGGTACATAGATATGCAATATATGTATAATAAATATTGAATAATATTGTATTTTAAGGAACTATAAAACCTGTTATAATAATCTAATATATCCAATAAAATTTTAGATGAAAAAGTTGCAGCCACAGAGTATTGATCTGAGTCTACCTGGATGGGGAAGCTGGGGAGGACCGAATATCAAAAAGAGTAAAGTAGCTCGTAAGAAGAGCCGATTTATACTGAATGTTCCTAAACAAATGCCACGTAAACCCGAAAATCAGGGTGACGTCATAGTATTCGAACATGAGAACGAGAAATTGAGGAAACATCTCGTCAAAGAGCTGCCCTATCCGTTTACCAGAGTTAAGGACTTCGAAGCGACTATCAGAGCTCCCATCAGTAGGACCTTCGTCCCAATGAACGCTCATTTACGACTCATTCAGCCGTCAGTAAAGACCAAACTTGGACAAGTGATTGAGCCAATGGATGAAAATGAGTTGGTGAAAGAGCAACCAATGGTAAAAAAATCGTTAAAG